TGAGTTACTTGAACTTGCCAACCTCCTTGTAAATGTCAAAAAATATTATAATGAAGTTGGAGTACTAGGGCTCGTTCGGGACAACTACAACTTTTTGTAAATATGGTTGTAAAGCTGTGATGAAGAAAATAACTTCTTAATATTCGTAGTGTAAATTATAAATATTTATTTTTTTCAAGAAGACAAATATAAATTTTCTTACAACTACTCTTTGTAATTTTGTTTCTAGAATGTAGTTTTTCATCATAAAAATTTTTAAAAAGCAACAAGAAAAACAATTTTGTTGTGCCACAACTTTCGGTTCATTATCCTATTTTTACCTTGCTACAGGCAACAATGGCCAAATTTTTTGAGATCATCTAAAATAAAGAATATTTTTGGTGATTGCACCTTATGAATATGGGAACTCTCATAAGAGACAACCAAATACCATGCTTTCGATATATAACATGGCCACAATATGCACTATTCGAGTTGTAACAGATCGTCCCTTAATTTGACACTAGTCAAAAGCAAACATTTGGGATAAATTTTGAAGTAACCGAACTTCATATGTTTTAAATAGCTTATATTCCTCTAACGACGATTAAAGCCCAAACATTGATAGATTATCGTTAATTTCATCATATAGGAGTAGAGCAATATGTACTCGCAGAAGATACCATTGAAATTATATGTGGATGGGCTATCGAGCGAACAAGGGATAAAAGCTGGTTTGGTACTATAATAGCCCTATAGATATTTTCCTAACGAATGTCGTCAGTATATAGTTTTTGCTCATTATTAAAATTGCACAATAAGTCGTGATTTTCTATTGGAAATTGTAATGAGGCTTAAGTCTTATTGATCGACTGCGAGGTATATGCCTCACCACTATTGTCGTGTACCTCGCCTCATGCATAGAGAGGCACATGCAATAATAAATTAAGTTTGTCTTAGTCTAAATCTTAAATAAACTTGCGCACCATATCTGCTTCAACTTGCACGCAGTCATGCTCAATCTACTCACCTCAATGAAGGAAATCTTTGCATTTCTCTTCAATTGACACCTTTGCCTCCTTGTCTGTTGGCATCGTCAACCTCCTACAACATCATCACAAGTCTTCTTAACACTTGCCACCAAGTTCTTTGTAGCAACCACTTTCTTATAGTTGCCATTGTCGTCTCTCCTTGCACTTGTCGCCACTGTCCTTGCAATCGTCGTCGTCATCCTTAGGACAAGTTGAGTTCGTATTGATAAAATCTACAAACATCTACTTTTCCCATTTGCTTTTTACATCATTATTATGTTGGAGATTTACTCTGGGTGCTACACTTTTTAATAAATTCAGCATCGAGTAACTTTTGCATTTCTTTGTGGATTGTGCCAATTAACGTTGCAACAACTGGCTTTTTATGGTTAATTGACTTTTTCTTATTTACATTCAATTTATGGTATACTTTTGGCATCTTTTTGGCTGTCAATGCAAATACTTTCATTTTCTACCTTAGAGTTGCCATCAACTTGCCTTTGTACTCACAATTAAAGGATGACATGATTCAACAAATGACGTGATCATCCTAAGCGTTAGTCAGAAGTATCATCTAAGTGCCTACTTATTAAATGTAATGAAGAACAACTGACACTATTGTTCGACTTAAATAAGTAACATGTTCAATTAGATCTGTTTTACATTAATAAGATTTTTTTAATGTGGGTTTTTGGGTTTAGTATGTCGCTTGGCTTTGATGAATCCTCTAAAAAGGTAGTAGTCAGTTATATGCTTTTCTTCCAACTCTCCCTCCAAGTCGATTAGACTTAGGGGACTGTAGAATGTCGCTTTATTCTTAGTTTCTCGGTTGTAAGTCTCATCTAGGAACAATAGTACTCTCACCTTTTAACTTTCTCCTTCTAGCCGCAGCGTTTACTGGCTCTTCGGGCATTGCACTCTCGGTATTATTTATCGGTATGTGTTCCAAGAGTGATTGGATAATTTTGCTAATTATCTCTTTAATTTTAATTAGTTTTTTAGTCGTTATGAAGTCTTAGCTCTCAATGTTAATAAAAATTTTTCTAGCAATGGTTTGTTTGGTTTTATCTCTATCTGCTTTTGTAGATCTCTAGGCATTTATTTTATCTTTTGGCATAAGTTAATGCTCCCCACATCTTTTAGGATATTAGATCTTATTTTGGCCATGTGGTTTACTAAAATCGTACTAAGTTAGAGCAAAATAGGAGCATGTATGGATGGTAGAGAAAAGAGTTGGGAAAGAGGAGTCTACTATCAGGCTCAAAAATCCATAAAATAGGAAATATAAATCCTAAAATTTGGAACCCATAGACCTCTTGAGATTCACTCTTTATGGATAGAGAGATCTAGAGTTCTAGCGCTATAGGAAAAAGTACATAGTAAACTATATATGTAATATAAAAAATTGAAAAATAAGAGGGGCTTGTAGTTAAGTACATACTTGGATTCAAATTGATTGTTGATTGTTGGGTGCAAAGGAGTTGTTGGGTCTCATGGCAATTGTTTTTGATTTGCTTTATGATCTAGTTGATTGGACAAGTTTTGTTTGGTTATAAGACTAGTCCCTTCCGAGTGAGTGGGGGTTCCATTTTTTGCTTGGCTAATGAGTCTAGCTAGGACCTTACTCGTGAGTCCTAGGATTTGATTGACGATTTTGCATTGAGGTTGTATGCACTTTTCATTTGGGTGAGTTCTCTTTAGGGATATACGTATATATGTAGAGGACATGCAACATTGGTTTTTTCTGCTGATATCTATGAGTGAGCTTGGGTTGATAAATAATATACAATTTTGGTGGAGTACACCCATGGAGCTAGAGGGTGGTAGTACCATGTATCAGAGTTTTATTGGTTTATAGGATTGAGAAGGGTTAGTAATGTGGAGTTGGTGATATGCGAGCAATGCAGAAGGCTCCTGGAAAAAATAAAATGAAATATTGAGAAGTGGGTGTCAAGTTGAATTGAACGATGCCATTGACCAACTAGGAACTTCCATGGAGTGGATATTTATACGTTTTGATGCAACGGGGTACTGTTTACTAGGTCTGATTGATAGTGATTCATAAGGGCCACACAAAGCTAAAAGTAATTGAGATGGTTGGAAAGGACATATTGCTAGAGGTACTAAGCTAGTTTGTTAGATAGCACAAAGTCGGGAGGTGGATGGAAGATTATCAGGAGTTTAAGGGTGCGTTTGTTTTGACTTTTGGACCATGTTTTGGGTCAAAACCGCATTTCACGCATTTGTTTGCGGCCTTCTGCTGGAACGGGCTGCAAAAATTTGGTCTTTTGCAAGCATACCACATAAAATATGGCCATTTACACTCATACTACTGAATTTATATTTTTTATTTACATATATTAACCGAGCATGCTCCACGTTACATGTTTTACATGTTCCATTTATCATATAAGGTTATGGGAAATATAAAAATCAGTGAATTCTCTTTCAACCTCATCAAAAATTCTCTCTCAACAGTTGTTGAAAGAGGATTCACTGATTTATATATATATATATATATATATATAGACACAACAAATAATTAGATTAAAAGTTTATATAAGGTTATGGGAAATATAGAAATCAGTGAATTCTCTTTCAACCTCATAAAAAATTCTCTCTCAACAGTTGTTGAAAGAGGATTCACTGATTTTTATAACAATGTGGATGAGATTTTCTACCACAATGTTCACATGCAGGATGCGATCTCTTTTTGCTTCTGGCTTTGCTCTTGTTACTGTTGGTCTAGCGTTCTTCATTTAAGCCTAGATGATTTCTGCTTTTCCTTTTTTTTTTTTTATTTTACTTGCTTACCTTTTCTTAATGCTTGATAGAAAGGCTCTTTTGATAACTACAATGTTAGCAAGCTCCTTAGAGGCACCTTAGACAAGAAGATGTGACAATAGAACATTCCCGACAATCCAAATATTGGTTTCTTGCTTCAATTCAAGAAAGTTTTGATTCTTCATAATAATAGAGAGAACAACGTTGCTGCCCATACCTGTGCAAAGAAGGCTCTTGATAGTGATTTTATTTTGTGTCATGTTCATAAGTCGGATCCTTTTTTTTATAGGAGGATATTGCCCCTTTTGTAAATGCCCAAGGATATCTTGCGTCATGTTCAGTTATACTTGATCTAATATTATTTTTGACATTTATCCTTATTTGTGCAACTTTTGATAGTCTTGTCACATCACTCCATATAAAGTTGCCATCATATTACACTAACATATCTTTTATTTTTGAACTAATAGCATTCATTTCTCTAATGAAGTCAATTTTCTCCTCATTTTTTAGTGCCTTAAAGAATTGCATAGGCAATGTTTTCGTAATGATGCATATTTGGATGGTTATATAAAGTCCCATGACCCACCCTCTCTGTCTGGTAGCTCAGTGACTAACGTCGATCTCTTTGCTCTTCTAATTCAATATTTGATTTTCAAAATGAGCTAATTTAATTTTATTATTGTTTTTTCCTTTTATTTAAACCAACTTTCAATATTCTTATGTTTTTTTGGTACTTGACATTTACAAATTTAATTTTATTATATTTTAAAATTTTATTTATTTATTCAGAATTACATGAATGACTACATTCTTTATTCTTTAATTCCAAAATAAAAATAGTATTGTACATTTATGCATCAATTTATGTTTAATTCTATCATATTTTACTAAGGCACCCTTTGGTTCATGAATTCATTGCTCTATCTCGCTACTGCTATTGATGATAACTAGTTGTTGGCAAATAATACTCAAATTGTAATGAGAATGGCCATTGAAGGATAATGTTGTAGATTTGTTGCTTATAACTTGCTATAAATTTTTTCTTCAAATTTTTCTAGAACTTCAACTTTACAATGCTCTGCAGTACTGCTTTTGTACTTGTATATGTAATTTGTTTTGTTAGCTGATTTATATCTTAACATAGCATGCAATTAATGAACATTGTCACTGATAACATGATTTCTTATTCTCTGTTGTTTATAGAGCATGGCTTGTAAACAGTCGTGGAATTGCTAAAAAGGTGAAGAATGCAACCCTCTATTCAAACTATCAAATCAGAGAACTTGGAACGGAAGCAAATCGTGAATGTCCGAATTGCAAGTATGTTATTGATAATAGTGATGTAAGCCTCCTTGATGCCCATTTATTAGTTTATGAACTTTTTACGTTCTACATATTGTCTCTTAATTGAAGTTATTTAAATTGATGTTTAGTCGCCAATTGTCTCTACCAATTGTTGGTTACTTTGAGTTCAGTTCATTATAGAAGAACATTTACTTTTTCTGCTAATTATTTAATCAACGTTCTTCATTGTATCCTCGGATTATATGTGTATTTCTCATGTTTTATCCTATCAAAATTTAAGGAAATAAACAGCCTAAACTTGAAAAATATCTTGCAAACACCTGCATGTCCATACCTTGTGTAATAGCCACCATTCCATACTTCTTCAAATAACCACACACACCTCATGTGCATTGTTTCATTTTCTATTTAATTTTTTACATGTTTTCAGGAGTCGTAAGTTTCAAGTTTATGATAGGGCCTTGGTTCCATACCAACAAAACATATCATGTGTAATGTTTAAGTTTGATCTCAACTAATTCATCAATCTAAAAGATATCATGAATGCAGCGTTCAATCGATGGAAGCAACTGAAACATGTTGACATACGTTGGCCAAAAATGATCAAGCCTATTTGTGTCTCCACAGGTTTCTTTGGATTGGCCTGGCCTTCCTGCCGGTGTAAAGTTTGACCCCACTGATGTAGAACTTCTAGAGCATCTTGCAGGAAAAGCTGGAGTGGGGAAGTCCAAGGCCCATATTTTCATAGATGAATTCATACCAACACTTGATGGGGAGCATGGAATTTGCTATACACATCCTGAGAATCTTCCTGGTAAGAAGCTCGCCAAGTTCAAGTCTTTTTTGATGCTTAGCATTTGAACGTCTGTCATCATACCTTTTCTCTTCACATAGGTGTCAAAAAAGATGGAAGTGGTGCTCATTTCTTTTACAGAACATCAAATGCATATGCAACTGGATGTAAGAAGCGCAGGAAGATACGGAGTGAATACAGTGAGTCTGAAGAACGTGTTAGGTGGCACAAAACTGGTAAAACCAAACCTGTGGTAGAGAATGGTTTTCAGAAGGGCTGGAAGAAGATAATGGTTCTATACAAAAGTTTTGGGAAGGGCTGCAAACCAGATAAGGCTAATTGGGTGATGCATCAGTACCATCTTGGGACAGATGAAGAAGAAAAAGATGGCGAGTTCGTTGTGTCAAAGGTTTTCTACCAGCAGCATACGAAGCAAGTTGATAGGGCTGATACTGAAACATTACTGAATGAATTAGTTAGTTCAAATATAAAGTGCGGTCCAAGAACACCAAAAACAGTTGCACCAGAGCCGCCTCGGGCCAAAATGAATTCTTTAAGTGATGTTGATCAACATGATCCTCTACCTTTGCTAGTTCATGTATTTTCCAGCATTTTGGTCTTTTTACTTGTAGATCAGATAGTTTACATTTCATCATTCACTCTGAATTGAAATATTGCATTGTTCCACTTTTCGACCTGTCTTGCAGATTGTTGAATAAATAATTTTCTGTAGGCTTGAAACATGCATAAGAAAAGAGACATGCAGTTTAGTTGCATACTTGCAATATTGTTACCAATGTAAACCCCAATGCTGCACTTTTCACTTGGTGCCATCTTTTTGAAACAGACAATGAAGCTTTGTTTAATTGATAACTTCTATTGTTAAAAAAAAAAAATGAGTTTATCAGATGGATCCAAATCTTTTCCTGGATGATGCCTGATTGTGAGATTAAAGTAGACTCAAGATTTATAATATTGTCGAGAAGTTGGGGATTCTATTCACCATCTCAAGGTTTAGAATAATGTAGATGTCCCTACATCCTCCTTTTGATCCCTTTTTATAGGGGGTTGGGCACTGTAAGAAAAGCTATGTAGGAAGAATAAATGAATAAATACATGATTTGAATGTTAGAAACACATGGATAAAGTAATTAAGGCCCCAGAGAGTACATGCAGATGCTAATAGGTCTTTTCTAGTCTAAATATCAAGAGTCTAAAATTTTTATAAATTTTCCTGTCATTTTTACCTGTGCTGGTCATCAGTATAAAAATTTTCTTATCACGGCACTTATGAAATTCCATTCCCCTTATCATTTTACCTGTTAACTATCATTTTTTCTTGTACATATGCAATTGTATAAGTATACCTATAAGCAACTGATTTATGTACATGCTCATCAATTTATTAAAAGCAGTAACATCAGTAAAATCAATAGTGTCTGCTAAAGTTATTTTTCTATAACATATACAGGTATTCAATAATATGCAGATAAATTAGTCTCATTCAATCATCACAAACATTAACAATCCAATTCAATTTATTATCATTCACATTCTCAACATAGGGAAGCAAACAATAATTTCACAAAACAAATATAGATCTACTAAACATCAAACATATAAAAGTATATATCCCAAAAGTTATCACCTTCTTTCCATTGCATAAAGTCACACTTAGCTAATTGCCATGATGCTCGTTACCCCTCCTTGAAAATAAATATATGGGACTAAGCTACAAACATAGTTAAACAATCATGGCTAAAGTAAAATTTTTCTAGATGGAAAGAAAACGACGTGTATGCTCAATTATGATCAGTATGAGTGCAACCATACACAAAAATACTTACTTTAATCACATGGAATATATGTAAACAAGAGTATAAAAGCAATAAGTAGTAAATAGCTGTAACAAATATATATTTCATTCATTCCTTAAACAATCATATGAGTGTATTTAGTTGTTTAGTATTGAATATGTCATCTTAGAAATGTCACTTATACTTGTATAGACCTTGACTTGATTTATTTCATTGGGCTAGCTGCACAACTACTGATAAGGATTGATCATCTTCTAACATAATAATTAATAACAACCCTCTAATACCACAAATTCGTTCCAGTCTAAATATCAAGAATCGAGAATTTCTGTCTTCTTTTTCTGTGTAGGCCATTAGTATAAAAGTTTACCAATCACAAAACTTGTGATATTCTCTTGATCATTTTACCTGTTAAAGATCAATTTTCATTTGTAATAACTAATTTTGAGAAATTAAGTAAAATTTTGGCACTTGTAAAACATACCCAAATTTCATATCCCAAAAAATTTAATCGAATCAATTTTATAAAATTTTGCATGTTAAATTAATCAATTTGATATATAACACTATGCATTAATTGTAACTATATGGGGGAGATATGAAATTTGAAATAACTACATAATTAACCTTAATTAAACCCTTAGTTAAATGCCCTAATCTCATCACTGTTTCTAGTCGACTTCTCCTGCACTTATGCGCACATGCAACTGCTGGATTCAATCAAATGGAAGGGATTATTTTGGATCACATTTATATGCGGCACTTCTCTTCATTTCTCCCTCACTTTCGTTTTTTGCTTGGCTGAAGAGTCCTGTGATTTGGCTACTGTAGCAGATGGGGCGAATGGCTGAGCAGAGTCATAGCTCACGACTAAAGGTTCCATGGATAAATCATTAAGTAGGAAATTCATTTTAGCGATATTCGAGACATTTCTTTCCTTCTATTTCCATTTTGACATTTGTTGCTAATTAAATCCTTCCTCGTGATTTGCTGCTATTGTAGCTAGGTGTGAGTAGTCACGAAGCTGATGAACCGAGAGCTACACTCTCACTTAGGTTGAATTCATGAGTAACATAAAAGGGGTAAGGGTAAGGAAGGAAAGAAGGATTAGGAAGGCACAAAAAAAACATATTTATGCAAGAAAACTCGTTTGAGGTTGGTTTTGACAAATAAAATTTGTTTAGAGTTAAGACATATTTTGAGAATTTCATGAATTTATGAGAGAATAAGGAATTTTAGATGATTTATACTAGGCGACAAGATCAAGGTGAGCTTGGGAAAACTTGTTGTAGAGATGCTATGTCAATTCAGGCGAAATAAACCTGTGTTAACTTAAGATAAATAACTCTGTAAATTTCCATGTGACTATGTGCTTGACACATTCATCTAGAATTTTCTGTATATTGGGATGAATAAATGCAAACTTGATTTGTAACTTATGATATCTATAATTTTACTATGTTCTGAATTTGATAAACATGCTTATGAAATCATTATTTACCGGCATTCATTTATTATGATTAATGCATATGATATATTGAATGCATATGATGAATGCTTGGAATTATATATTAAGTAATGTTATAAGTAGGTTATTACATAAATACTTATAAGTACAGATGATAGTGAACGATGAGATTCCCAATTTTTAGTATTTAGATGGAAACGAAACTCCGAGAATCATTGAGATCCAACATGGACAGAAATTAAGGAACCGTTCATGCCAGGTGGGCTAGCGATAACAACTATTTTGGAGTGGGCCCAACCTTTATCAAACCTAATGTATCCTTCAAGATGGATGACGACCCATGACATGAAAATAGTTGAGACCTATACAACTAGCGATATTCTTATGATTAGACGGATGACTCTTATGAATATGCTTATGATTGCGCATAAATCGATGAATTATATGTTTTATATAACCGTCATAATTTCGTGCATTACATTTATTTTCTTTTATATGTTTTATGTGATTATAACATGTCATGACATGTGTAATGAGATATACGAGAATTATATGTGAGCATGTATGTTGTCTCTTTTCCATCTATAAAATCTTATTTTAGTCGCAATTATTTTGTTGAGCTTATTGTGGCTCATTCTAAGTTATTGACTTTCATGAAACGATACGGAGCATCTGGGGGAGTAGCCATGTGCGACTTGTACAACTTTTGCATTATAGTTTTGGGAGCTTGTACAAACTTTTGGGTTCGTACTTTTATTATATTGGATTTAACAATTCTAGATATATATATGTTTTGATGATAAGATTTTCATGCTTTTAATTATATATGAATATGAATGATTTATGAAATAAAATGTATCAATTATGGTTGCAATGATTTAGTTAGATTAGTTCATTACCTACTAGTTCTTGTTTCTGCAAGTTAGGATGAATGTTGATGATAATTTAGTCTGACTGAATTGACCGTCTTTGTCGCACTGCAGTTAACCTTTAAAGGGGGCAATTTTGGTGTGCTAGAAAGTGGTGTCAGAATAAGGTTATTGGATGAAAAGAATGATGGATGCGTGTTAGATTTAGAAAAATTAAGAATGAATCAAATATGAATTGATTTATAAAGAGTTATAGGTTGATTGATCTGATGCATGACAAAAAGTGGTATCAGGGTGGTTATTGGATGAAAAAAATTGATGGAAGCGTGTTGGGTTTAGAAAATGTAATATTGTGATCAAATATAAATTGATTTATACAGAGTTATAGGTTGATGGATCTTTGGTGGACAACCCATATGACTTCAGATATCATGCATGCACGACATAATTACTATATGATAAATTGCATTTTAATAATAAATTGTGCCAATACAGATGAATATGCTTGAAAGAGATATAAAAGGTACTGAGGGTCAATCTCCTAGGTCAATTCCAGAGCAAGAAGTATGTGCTGAAAATGTCTTGAACATAAATTATATGTAGAAGAGCAAATGAGAAAATAGAGCCACTAAGTTAAAGGACATTCTACAGTTTCTATCACAAGTGGGACTAGGACCCATATTTGAACTTGGGACAGAAGTTGATCGACAATTTAAGATCTTTCAGTCATTTAAGCCACCTGCATTCAAGGGTGCTAGTGATTTTGGAGTTGTTGAAGATTGACTATTAAAGATTGAAAAGATTTTGGATTGTATGATTTGTCCAGAAACCAGGAGAGTGATGCTAGCCACTTTCATGTTATAAGACAACACAAGGAGCTGGTGACAGGCATAGAGAGATTTCAGTTGACATCTTTTCCATATATTCGGTTGGATGATTTTGTGAAAATCTTTAAGGATTGGTTTATTCCGCCTTCAGCCGGATTATAATTGCAAGCTATATTCTTCAATCTAACTCAGTGGTCTAAGACAGTTATGCGAAGAGGCAAAATTTACTTTGCTTTTCAGACTGCACCTCATTATGTCAGTACACAAAAAGAAATAATGCCACAAATTTCTGTGCAGCCTTAGTGATCAGTTGAGGTTGACTTTGGCGTTGTTCAAAATTAGTAATTTCTCAGTGCTAGTTGAAAGAGCCTGTAATGCTCGGTTATTTCACATAGCTCATGTGCTACAAGTGTGGCATAAGGGATGCGAGATTTCATCGTTATAAAGAGGAATGAAACTCTTTATCAAAATGAAAGGACTTTGATATTCTGAGAAGAGAACTGAGAGTTGTGCAATAGAGATGCGGGAAGGAGGTGACGTTTTTGAACAAAGTTGAAGGTGACTGCGTCAAAGAACAACTTGCTCATACGATTTGTGCGGCACAGAAGATTTACCAT